GGACTCTTCGACTCGTGGATCGCAAAAAGTGACAGCTCGACTCCCCCCATCCTGCGGAAGGAGGCGCTCGACGCACAACCGGAGGATGCACCGCGCCGTTTGGCACACTGGCACAAGTTGCTGCAGACACGACACCACCAAGTCCAGACACAACACCTTGTATCGACACACGACCGTCTAAGACTGTAGAAGGAATATCCATAATTGCCTGGAAGGACGCACTTGCGGACCCCTCCCTCGCAGACAATGTTTGAAACCGCGCATGATGGGAGGACGCACTTGCGGACCCCTCCCTCGCAGACAATGTTTGAAACCGCGCATGATGGGAGGACGCACTTGCGGACCCCTCCCCCGAAAGCCACGTCTCATACTGCTGGCGATTGGAGGACGCACTTGCGGACCCCTCCCCAACGGGATGTTGCTGAAGTCGCAAGACACCTTTGCAAAGAGTTGTTCGGCTGTCTTGCGACGCTGTAAGCGGAAACCCTAACAGGGACTGAGGCGAAACCACCGGAATTGTTCTGGCATCGTTTTTGTGCTTCTTCCACCCCAATGCACGCCCACGGGCAGGCACGGAACAACGGTCCGGCTGACGAGACGGAGTGGTTGAGGAGGACCAAGGCTGAAACCCAGAACACGAAGAACGTGACCGGCGGAGACACCGTGATTGCCCGACCTGTTGGAGCGAAGATGCTGGATATGCACAACTTAAGCACCCAGCATCGGCAGGAAGGCTGAAGCTACGACGCTGACGACAAGCGTTGGCTTCCCTGTCAGGTCGCTGGCTTGAGGTAAGATCCAACTCGGGGCTGGCGATAAGACAAGCCGTTGGGTCCCCGACTCCGCAAGGAACGGATGGAGAAACGCTCCTCTCACACGCATTTGCTTCGCGACCTGTAGCGGCAGCACATGGGGCCATTCCCAGGCGCGACGCACCTTCCGAAGCTTCAGCTTTGAGCGAGGCCTGCGCACACGATTGATTGACGGCCCGCCTGGTCAAGCCACAGAGAACCTCATCGCAACCCCCACTGGCAGCGCCATTGGTAGATGGACGGTCTGTTGAAGGCAAGCTCTGCTTACACAATCCAGAAGAGAAGTGTGAGTACCCATAAACCCCGCTACTAACTGTATACCTTGAACGTCCATGCAACCGTCGTGAGGCACATGCCCAGCCGACAGTCTCACCGGCACTTTCGCAAGATTGAGACAACCTGTCCCACCATTCCCCAAGGTCCTCGTGAACACTTTCTGTATCTACATCTGCCCATCTGGCAGCTCGGTCAAAGGTGAAGCGACGCAGCACGCGTGACAGTGCACGAACCTCGTCTGCATCTGTTGCATCTTCCTGCTGAGCACGGCGTTGGGAGCCCACGCTTAACAGAGACTCTGTGTTTTTTCCAGCGTGAACAGGACAATGGGTTGATTGAGATGGCGGTGACGGCTCCATGGAAATGGTCTTTCCACGGCAAGAAGGGACGTCCAACTTGACACGTGCGCGGGCTGCCGGTCGACCAAAAATCCAGCGTGATGGAGGAACATTCATAGGAGCCGGAAATCCGCGCAAAAACAACGACTGACGAACCAGCGGTGGACCGAGTGCAAGAATCTGCCCCTGACAAGTTTTAGCCGACAGTTGGAGCACAGCCATGTCCCTGTAAGTCGGGTCTGTACCTGCTCTGATGATGCCATGTGCTGTTTTCGAGGCCATCTCCCAGGAAGCCAAAATGGCAGAAGCGTGATTGGAGGATTTCGGCTCAGAGCTAGAGCGCAAGACGGAAGTGCTTTCAGGAGATTGAGGCTCCAGCGATCTTCCACGCCGCACGGATTGGCTCACATGGCGGTTTGCAGCAGACTCAATGCGGTTCCCCACTGTTTCTGCCCGTGGAGGCTGACAGACTGCAGCTACATCGGTATGCACGAATCTACACTTATCTCCATAAGCGCATGTCTTTGTATTTTGCCAAGAAAAACAAATCTTGAGAGTACCTCTGGACGCACGAGGCTTGGTTGCACGCGCTAGCGAAGTCACATCGCCCACGCTTGGGGAGTTGGCAGCAGGTTTAGGACAAGATACAACATCTGCGTCAGGGAATTTCGCAACAGGTTTGGGCGAAGATCCAACATCCATCCCAGGGAGTGTCGCATACGATTCCACCACATCAACTCCTTGCGAAGCTTCCACCTCCCAAACCCATGGAGGACTCGCGAGGTGCACAGAGCCAGAAACGGGAGTGCCAGCCTCCAGACTGGTATCAGGCGTATCGGCAACAACTGGCTGACGAGAACCTACATTGGAAGAGTGCAACGCATCACAAACACTGCTAGCCTTTTCTGCGAGCCATCCGGGCCTTCGCATCATGGATCCAAGCTCATTGCCAAACTTACTTAGCAAAATGACAGTGACATCTTCCTGGAAAGGTGGTGCGACGCACAAACCTACCGCCAAATATAACTTCATTTGAGTCTCCCAAGGCACACCTATGACACAGCGGTCTTGCAACGGATGGGCAAACCAGCAATCCCCTTCGTAGCAACACTGCCCATGCCGAAACCAATGCGTGCAAACACCATGCCACTCTGGAGAATCTAACTCGCCCTCACCCGAATAAGCAGATTCGCTCTCTTGTCGTGGTGCGGCGGACTCAACCGATGGAGAAGGTTTGAGGACGATGCCCGAAGGCAGGACCGTTTCCGATACGCCTGCCGCGTCCAACACGCGCATCGCTTCCGAAACTTTGGATTGAAAAGACAACGAGTCTGAGAGGGTATTCACCAACTCATCAACATCCATCTCCAGCATCATCCCTGCAACCTTGGGGATTCGCGACGTAGCGACCTCTAAGGCTGCTAGTTCTGATACGACACATGACCCTAAACATTCCCTTTGAGTCTTCAACAAGGAATCCCACTCAAGCTCCCCATTCGCAATTTCTGATTGGTTGTCGTCAAAGCCAGGATCATGCGTCTCCACCATGCAAGCTGAGGCATCGTCATTTGCGCAATCCCTGCCGGAAGACGTTGACCCTTCAAGGCAAGAGGTCGCACTAGGCAAACGAGATCCGAACGCAAGACGATGAAGAGCTTGGCTTTGCTGTTCGGTAAGTGGTTCGTGAGAAAACTTACACCTTGACCCGTACTTACAGAAAGAAACGTGGAACGCATAGCAGGCAGATTCCAACCCAATTGTTGACATCATTTTCTTCAGTTGTTTACCTTGTTTTTTGGGTGACAATAAAGTGGAAGCTTCCACTTGCTGGGCACATGCAGTTGGGTGCGCATTGCATCCAACATTCTCTTTTGATATACCCAACCTGCTCCCATAATCGCACCTAAACCGATCGACTAGAGTCCCAAACTGATGCAAACCTTGATGCAACACTTCTGGAAACTCCATGTTGCACTGCCGATGCATCTCTTCCACGCACGCCACGACTCCAACCCACAGGTGTGCTTGCGACTCCAAGCACTGCCTGATGGTTTCCCACTCTTCCCTGGTGGCAAGCACCCATTCGTCACCGGTCTGCACTCCTGACGAACAACAGACAGGACTAGTGCTTCCTACCAATTGATTAACAGGCGCTAAAACCCCAATCTCACCAACTTGACCAGAAACGGACTGACCGAACCTGCACGTGGCAACAGAACCACGTCCATGGAAGTCCCCAAGATTTCCAGCCGCCTCCATCACCCCAGGATTGGTGACGACGGCACTTTGCAAACCCATACCTTGGGCTCGTGTGAGCCCTTGACGCTCCTCACGCGAAGTTGCGTACGTTGACGCTCCCGCACCCTCGAGTGCAGAAACCGGATTCGGGTAGCTAGGCCTACTACCTACACCTATATTAAGATGAACCCCCTGACGTCCCACTCCTGCGTCATTCAGCGGCGTTCTCAAAGGCTTTTGCAGCTCTGAATCGCTGAAAGCCCTTTCTGTATCACCATTCAAGCGTTGACCACACGTCTCAACACCGGGAAACATTGCTGAAGAAATGAATGAGGTCGGGTCTGCAGGCTCCCTATTGTCACTCAGTGGTTCCTCAACAAGTTCTTGGATTGAGCTAGACGACTCAGGAGCTAGCGCAACCGTATCATCTCCAAAATATTCACTTGCACCCCGACTGCCACGTTCCAAGAATGCACTGCCTATCTCAGCTGGTGGCAAAGATTCCCTGGGGATCCATGTCAGCAAAATTTGCTAACATTGCAATGTCAGCGAAATCTGTGATCATTGGCTATGACCATGTTTTTTGTGAGCGTTGGTAGAACAAGCCATCTTTTCCATTAACTTCCGCTCCAAATCCCGGGAATCGCAGGCATGGGGGTCAAGATGCTCCGGAAGTTGCAGAGTCGAGCAGGCTTCGGTGTAGTGTAAAGTCGGCTCAAGAATTTTTATGGATGCAGTACCAACTGTGTATTCGCAGTGTAGTCAAATGAAATCGAGAAACCCAGAGACTCCAAGACTTTAATTTAGGGTAAGCCATAATCTTATACGGTCATACGATAACAGAACCCAGGGTGTATTCCTAGGGTATTGGAGTCGTATATAGATCTATAGGTGATAGGGTACTAATATCGCAGATACATGAGCAACTGGCAGCCTATTTGGATGTCGGCGGCGGTGCTTACGCATGAACAGAGCTACAGCACGAAGCCAGCCACTGAGTCTTCAGTGACCGTATCTCTGTGTACGTAATGAAAACAGTAACGGAGTAAATTGTGGGCTTCAGGTCGAATCGAGGCTCTGCGAGCATCTGATGATCGTTCCCCGTCACCCTCGAAGCAAAGGGTGCTGGCAGGCAAACGGTCGCTTGTAGTTCTGAGAACTAGCTAGTGTAGTACTGTCGACCGCATGAACGTCTGTATTCGCAGCATTTATGTTTCTCTGCATGGGCAATATAGCTTTGTGCCTGTGGCCGAGGACACTCGACTGACAATATTTGCCAGCCCATGCACGTACTTATATAATAACATTATCTAAACGTAAACCAGCTCAGGACGTCATGCCGACAACGGCGGCAGACAGGGAGCATCAGTTTTTGCTGGAAGTGTCTAGCAAGCAAATATATTTAATTAGCACAGCTAGCTGGTACGTCTCTATAAATCAAACGGAGCTCAGGATTTTCTCAACGCCTGGCTGACGGAAAATCCGGAGACGCTGCCGGGTATTCGTGAGAGCAAGGCAGCTAGGCAGAATCGTTTTTGAGATTCATAATCTCCCTCGGGTCAAGCCAAGGCCAAAACCTTGTTCAAGGTTCCAGATGAAGGACCTGACAGTGTGGCGATGGTGTTCTGGTTGAATTATATCATGTGTGGCGATGCTTCCTTCAAATCCATTTTAGCTTCCTTGCACAAACTTTGTGAGGTTGAACGGTATTTTGCCTTCCTCGCCGGATATATCGCGACTTGTCAAGCTCGCGTTCCGAAGTTTAGAACGCACAAGGCCTCCGGAGTAGTACTAGTACATCGGTGATCGTGTGCATGCTGGGCAGTTAATATTTAAGAACGAACTATGAGTGGTGCAGGTGGTGCTCCACATCCTGTGCCAGCGGTACGCCTTGTTTCCAAAGGGAACCAAGCGCAAGGTGCAGAAGGACATGACTGCAATGTTTACTAGTCGATAGCGATCGAGTTAACCGAAGGACTGGGCGGCGACGGAGGCTGCCACGATGCGTGCTATGGCGATACATGCACTGCTTTTGACCCGGCGCTCGAACGGTAGCCGGTAGCTATGCTGCAGTATGCACAAATCCGAGCCACGCAAGCTTCATAAGCATCGTCTAGTACTGGCTAGTGGTCGATATGCTGAGGCGTCCCCAAGTGCATATGATCAAGGAGATCGTGCGTGCTTGCTTCGATGGATCGGGCGGAGGCACGAGTGCCTTATATCTAAATACCCTCGATTAATCCCTGTACTTCGAGCCAGGTAGTTTTGTAAGGAGTTACAGCACTTTCATATTATATAGGGGAATATTCTATATTATATATATATGTGTATGTATTATATAATTATATAAGGTTGCTAATGGGCTGGAGGGGTTGGGGGATTCTAATTTTAAGGGTTTACGACTTCTTAGCTTTTCACATTTACTTGGAAGGGTAGGGGACTTAGTAAGTAGGTTCTAAGTAGGGTTATAATTGGGGTAACTCCATGTAGGGTACTTCTACTTATAACCTACTTGCTAAGTCCCCTGCCCTTCCAAGTAGTGTTGGAGGGTTCAAGGATTTATGATTCGGATATTCAGAACGAGGATTTAGGGCTTCCGGTACAGGCTTCAAAGTTTCGGAAGCCTCGGGTTAAGGCATCGGATCTATCATTAAGTAAGCCCTCGTTCCGATTTACTCTTAGATCTTCCCACCGGTACCCTTAAGCCTAACCATAAGCCCAGTTACATCAGTATGCGATGCTATTACAACCCTCTCAGGCGGCGATGTGGATCAAGTCATCGAAGACAGCCTGAACGAGGCAATGCAGCAGGCCCCCGGGCGAGACAGACTAGTTCAGACGGCTGAATTTTGTTTGGGCAGCTGCTGCTCTAGTCACTGTACGTCGATCAACTATTCTGCGGCAGGATCCGAACTCACCGGGCAGTTCCATGCCGGCTTCCGAAACTGAAATGGATGTGGATATGGTGGGTGACAGTGATGCACCCGAGAACCCCGAGGACACAGCCATAATGCTAGCAGCTAGCTCTGGCGATGCATGTCTGGACCCCTAGATATCTAGTGATATTCTTATTTGCGATGCCGGGCCAAGCTCCTCTTCAATCGAAACCTGTAAAAGCCCGGTGCCACAGGACCCGGTGAAGCCCATGACGATTGCAAAGGACAAAGAACCTTAGCATCAGCTAGTAAGCTTTCTATCGATGTGTTATATGGATAATTCACAAATATAGCACAAAACCCCGCTCAGGTGACCGACCCGTCACAGATGGAGACACAGCTGCAGTATTGGGAGAGCTGTGAGACCCCGGACAAACCGAAGAGTGAGAACAACAGGCAGGCAGACAAGGCCAGCAGAGATACCCAGGACATGTCTTAAACTAGTCCATATGAACATGCTATCTGTATTTGTGCTGACATCGTGCAGGCTATGCGGCCTCCTATCCAATCTGTGAAGCCCGAGCTCCCCATCGATTTGCTCCCCGGCCTTTCGGCACAGATCCAGACCAACTTGTCGGAGCCGCAGGTCGACCTGGTCCAGGCTCAGCGCCAGGTGCCCCATGCATTAACATTTCAGTGTCGGGTATATTCGAATAAAGCGTGGTGTTCATGCCGTACACCAGCAGGTGAGAGAGAAGACGAGGCTGGAAGCAGCAGCCAAAGCACTTGCCAAGGATGCCGAAAACCAGGGAAAGCCTAAGGGCAAAGGTCGGGGAAGGGGAGGACGTGGCCGCCGGCAAGCGGCCCCAAAGGAGCAGGAGCAAAAGGAGCAGGAGCCAAAGGAGCAGGAGCCAATGGAGCACGAGCCAATGGAGCAGGAGCCAAAGGAGCAGGAGCCAAAGGAGCAGGAGCCAGAGAAGCAGGAGCCACAGAAGCCAAATAAACAGGAGAAGCAAGCCCTTGCAAAAAAGCAGCCCAAGTCGAAGTCGACCCCGGAAGACAGCCCATGGGCAGCCCAGTGGAAGGAAAAGGCCAGGCTAGTCTTGTGTCATAGAGTATTTTGAGTAGAACAGAGTTTCGAGTGTTCTTCCGTTTGCAGGAGAAGGAGTTGCTGGAGGCTGGCATACCCATCCCTGATACGTTTCATGGACAGACCAAAAGCTTTACGATTCAGCCGTGCCACGCCCCGAAACCCACGGATCCGGGAAAAGCTTCGGGCATTCAGGTTCTGTGCCTTGGCTAGCCCTCTTAATTCTTAAGCCGATGGGAATGTAGGACTATGACTTTCGGGCTTTCAGGATTCGGGGTATACTATCAGGACTTGAACGCCAGCGATGTCATGCGCTTAATTAATACAAGTACGTGATATGTTATTTAGCTAAGGTGGTATGAGAACCAGCTGTACGTTATCAAATCATTTGTGCCCTACAACGGCATCAAGATCAACAACAAGAACGGCTCCTCCCTGGCCCAACGCAAATACGGTGGTTGGCAGAACGCATGGGAGTATGCTCAAATCGTTGCCGGTTGGATGCCGGCATCTCGACTATATCGATATCTAGCTAAAGACTGAAGCATGTCGATGCTCGATGTTTAAGGTTTCCGGGTGTGCAAAGAATACAGATCGTAGCTTTATTGCTGGCTGCTGCTCAACGGTGTGAGTCAGACTTGAGCTTGAAGGGCTCTGGGGTTTTTAGGCTTTATGTGTCTTAAGGGTCCACTTCATTCAGGTTTAGGATTAAGCATAATTAACAATCATAATTATGTACTGTACGTACACTGTTCTGGGTAGCTGATCTGCTCTATTGCAACATATCTGAAACTGGTCTGCAAGTGTTAGTAGATGTTCAGTGAAGCTGAAACCGCACCCCAATCTTAAAGCATTCCAATAACTAGGTGTTCCGCAACCCAAAACCCAAGACAATATAATTTCAAAATTAAATATTGGTATGTGAAACCCTAGGCCGGAACACAAAACCCCTGAACATCTCGAGATTTACAGTTCTAAAGCAAGTTGCAGGAACCAGCTAGACCCCAAGACACAAACCCCACAAAGCAAGCCCAACGGTGCCCGATCTCCAGGAACATATATATATATATATATATATATAATATATACATATGTTCCTGGAGATCGGGCACCGTTGGGCTTGCTATATATATATATATATATATATATATATGCTCCAAAATCTAGTAATCTAACACAACCTACCTCTGTCACTAGGTCCTTCTATTCTAGTCTTAGACCTAACACACCAAATCCCGGATGTTGGAGAGTATATACTCGCCGCTGCTTAGAGAACCCAAACTCCAAAGCCAAATGCATGAAGGCCCCAGTCTTAAAGTCATTAATTCCCTCACCCGGAAATTCCCAGGCGCCATAGGCCTCCACTTGGCAACATCCCGCAGGCCCTGCAGGACAGCCGATTAAGTTGTTTAGGGGTGGCACACGTCATAAATACATATAATAATACTAATACGTAATAACAATAATATACTATATATAAGCACATATGCATACATGCATATATATATATATACCTGCACACCTATATTACATATACATACTTGCATGTATACATATACATACATGTTAATATACATACATGCACACATACACCCATAAATATAAATATATACATACACACAATATAGAGAATGTAGTGTGTGTGTGTGTGTGTGTGTTTGTGTCTGTGGTTGTGCATGCGATACAAGCCAGAAGTACGATGCCGAACTCGACTCTGATACTTGCGATGATAGAAGAAGCATCATATGCATCTAGTTTAGCAGTACTGTATAAATCCTAGCCAGTTAGAATCCAGGACCGATGATGTTTGGCCACGCCGCTGATTTTGATGATCTCTGCCGGGCCCCTGACCAAAAATACAAGTACACACTGCTGTGAGACCTGCTCCTAAATTTTGCGAGCACGACCGGACCGGACCGTGTCTTCAGCATCGGCTTGCAAACAGTATATCGATATCTAGACTTAAAATAACTAAAATATAATAATGTTGGTTCCCAATAACTTAAGCTTGGCCTCCTTATTATATATCCTCGATCTAGCTAGAAGCCATGGCTGGGCGTTTCTACGTGTCTGCACGCACTGCAGCAATTATGGTTTCGATCGGAGTTCCAGCATTAATGAATCTCGGCTGTTTATAATACCTGTGCGCGAATTCATATATAGATCTAATTATAGCTAGCTCTCGATGTGCAGCCGAGGATTCACGTCATCGACTACTTGACGCAGCTGAACATGACCCGGCACCCCGACGACCCTCTGTTCTGGCAACGGGCACCTCGCTTGATATTGGAAGTGCTAGTATATATCACCCTCCGAAGCTGTAGACTGCATTCTCAACTTATAACTTAAGGACATCGAAATGCTGGAAATGTTCTCTGGCAAGGGCATGCTAACCAGAGCATGCCGAACCTTGCCTGCATGCTTCGACCCTGCACGCCTCCCGACGCAGCTCAGCTTCCAGGCCCCATCCTGGCAAGTGCTAAGCTAAGACGACTAAGGAGATATGGGTATGCGAGTCCACAACTTCGAGATTATGGTCCGGGGGGAGTCCAACGACTTGTTATCTACAGCGGGATTTCTCACTGCTGTTCGAGATTGTTGTCGTGTTCAGAAAGGAGGTGTGGTGTGGGCAGGCATTCCTTGCTCATCGTGCCCCGGCTAGTAAAATAGTTTTATGAGTACTAGTGTGCATAATAAAAACGGTCGCTGATGTGCCATCCATCTAAGTTGGGTCTGGATCAGTTGGGCAGCCACCGGTCGACGAAAGGCGATCGAGGGCAATGGTGGTAAATGCACCCTGCTAGCCAACCGACTCGTCGCCCGGTTCGCCATACTGGCATTGATTTGCACAGCCCTGAACATATTCTGGGTGGTGCCTGGGCTCTAGAAGTCAATGCATGGAATCACAGACCTCCCCCGACACCACTGTCAAATGTCCATGAAAATCGGCTTTACTCAGGTGGAGCAGCCTGGCTCATCCTTGCTGAGCACATTCCCGGCGATGACACACATCTGCAGCCTTGGCGGGGCTCTCCAAACCTTCTTTCAAAAGTTGTGCCCCGACGAACATATTAATACATCTGCAGTTCAGCTCCGTATTTTACACGTCAGAATGCAGAGTTCGGATACGGCCTTGAGTGACGGGCGAGCTGGTGCTTTCGGTTTAGAGCTCGGTGTGTTGTGGCTGAAAGCTGAGGGTTGAAGCTTCAAGGTTCAGAGCCTGCAAGCTCATACCTCAAGCAAGCACGACTAGTGCTCTTCAAAATCGCAGTCATAAAATACGGTTAAGTCCACAGACCCTAATTACGGCACACCCCAAGCCCTCACCTCTCCAAGCTGACTAAGTTGGATGGGGGCCTACGGCCAATTCTGTCCGAAGCTGACGCAGCTCTTTGGGACGTGGCGCCTTGGATTATCTAGGGGAAGTTAAGTATACGGTACTGAAACCCAATCCCCAAAGAAAACGAGATGCTAGTGTGATAATATATATATATATATATGTATATATGTATATATATATATATAATATTTAGAGTAGCTTAAAAGTTTTATTTCCCGAGCTTGCTTGAAATTAGCTTGGGTTTTCTCTTTCCGTCCGTGCCCTCCACCAATAACTGCTTGAGAGGCCCGAATGTTGAAGCCTAAACCAAAACTACTAAACACAAGTAGCTGTATATATATGTACTCGAATCTTAATATGTCAGAGCTGAACCCGGCACGAAAGTTTGCAAATGTTTGCGGTCATAATGGCGATCTTCTGCTCCACACCAGTGATTTATTTGTGCTTGGACTTCATCTCGAACTCCAGTTGTTTGTCCCAGCTGAGAGCTTGTACGGGGACCCATTCCATGTGATGCTCGTTCATTCGGAAGAGTCGCCTGTTGTTAGCCGCAGATAATGGGGGCCCGAGTTCGATCACCTCACGCGGGTGCTTGCGGCCGTGCACAGCTGTACGCGCTTCGGAGGGTCCGTGGACCGGTGCGCCGGCTCACAGCCTCTTCGCAGCCTCCATGCTGCCATGCGCAGCCCCAGTGACTGGCAATTGTACGCGTCGTATGGCACAGGCAGCAGTCAGTCCTACTTAATACGCCTGACCCTCAAGGTCTTCTGTATACCCCTTAATATATGTGCATGATCTCTAGATGAGATGTTCCTAAGGCCCGGGATCGCAAACATCGATGGCAGGCTGACCAAAGCCATGAGGAAGAAGCTCCAGGAGAGGGATACGGGAATGGTAATCAGAACCACCGACAAGGCTACTGGTAAGAAAAAAGTGAAACCCGGCCACATTAAGTCATCTTAGGCTTTTCCTTAGCTTGTTCATTTAACTAGCCTAGAACCGAGCTTTACTAACTCCTGCCCTGGTTTCTTCTGAGTAATTACTGACCACAACAAGCATATATTTTTATAAAAATATTAAGCCTAACCTAGGCCTCGCTCTTCTATAACATCTCATTAGGGTCACGACTTCGGGATGGTCCTGGGGCTGACTTAGTACAAGCTCTTAAACCCGGCATGCAGCATTAATCTTAAGGCATTTTAGGGCATGAACCTGGTGGCTTAATTCAATACTGAGGACGGGCTCTCGACGATTGAAATCTAGTGGTGCTTACACTTATCGGTTTGGGCAACGTGTGGCGGAGTTGCTCCAGGACCCCGACACTCGTCTGATCCCAGGTTTCCACTGTCTGCTAAGTTGGATATCTCGCTCGATGTAGGATGATAGCCAAGACAATGCTTGAATATACTCGATCCCATGTGGAGCTAGATCTCCGCTGGGATGTGCATACCACATTATATGGTGGTTCTGGAACCCGAATGATATCTAAGGGGACCCACCTAAAAGTTTAGACCTAACACTTAGACCCTAAGTCCAAAGCCTTGAACTGAACAAAACCTAGATAAGCTTGTCCGAGGTCACAACGGCGAATTGCCCGACTCCTGCCGGACGGCTCGATGCTACGGTCCTGCAGGCACGGACAATGGTGATCGAGGCCCGGATAAGCAAGGTTGCTTGAAGTTTTAAGCTCGCATTACAGGCCATTTGGTAATTACCCCTGGTGCCCAGGACTACAGTATCTATGAGTGGGCCAATTTAGACGATATCCGGACCTTCCTTTTGAAAGAGCGAGCCGAAGGTCGCTTTGTGCCTCTGACTCCCCTGATATGATGAGCTAGCCAGCCAAGATTGCACATTCTCCCTGCGTTTATGCTCTCGTATAGCTACTTAAAAGCCCTTAAAAGCCCTTAAAAGCCGTAATTTGGGGTGTCCTAGGTGTGTTTCGGGGGAGAATCGAGGCCAATTTTGGAGTATAACGTGGCTGCCCTGGACGAGAACCCGCGTGAAAAAGCGTGAAAAATCGTGATTTCGGGATCCCTGGATCCTAATAAGAAAGCTATTACGTTAAAACCTGGTGCGTGGAAAAACGTGGAAAATCGTGATTTCGCGTGTTTTCGGGGTTGGGGCTGGGCTGCGTTTCAGGCTTTCGGGCTGGGTTTCGGCACGTAGGCAGGGGTGGCTACGTGGGCTCGTGCGGGAATACCCGAGGAATGCTCTGCTGAATGGGGCTACAAGGCAGTTTTTAGGACCTTGAACCTAGCTTTTGCTTGGTCTTTGACACCGCCCGCTCCATGTCGGGAGCCGGAGACGATCCAGCCGCTCTCTTGAAGGTGCCTCGACGCAGCAGAATTCTGCTTGGACCGGGGAGTTGAGGTTATGGGCTGGGTTTTTAAGTTCGGGCTCTATATAATTAGGATGTGATGTGTGTGTGTGTGTGTATATACATGTACATACAGTACATACATTACATACAGGTGGCGCAGTCGGCAGTGGCAGCAGCAGCGAAGCGACGTGCTTCCTTGTCGACTGCAACAGCAGCTGGGATGCTCTACGATGCGGGAAGCGATTCCACCGGGAGCACATCCACCAAAGCATCCTCGGGAACGCCGGCCAAGCCGAAGGGGAACAAGCTGCAAGATGCCGGGCCAGGGGTTGCTAAGACTCCGCAAGGGCCTGGCAAGCGTGTTCGTGCAAAGATGACTCCTCTGCCAAGTGCCGAGAAGACCCCATCCACCAGCACACCTTTGCCCAAGGCACTCAAGGATGCCACAGCAACCCCCAGCAAGACACCAAGCAAGATGCACATCGAAGAGGCGGCCACCCCGGTAGTCGAAGCCAAGAAGACTTTGCAGTTCGACGAGGGTGCCCCAGAGTAGACTTCGAATGTAGATCGATGTTTCCCATAGATATCCAGTAGACTATAACATTAGACCTAAATTTGTAGATCACACTGCTGAAATCTAGGTACGCCTGTCCGGCCTGCTCTCAAGATGCCAAGTGCTGACAGCCTGCCGGGCCAGAACGAGACCCCGGCTGACGTCAGATATGTAGCTCGTCTATCCTATGACCGTCTCTAGATAACTTAAAGCTATGCACATGTGCAACATACAAGAATCCATGTACCGGTACTGAGTTTGGGGATGAAGCCGAAGTAGGAGCCGAGGCAGCTTTTACATACTATATCAGTATATCACTATATAGTGTGTATCACGCATGTAGATAAGGAAGTGTACATATATAATTATGTGTGTGATCTATCTATGCATATATCTGTGCATAGAAGTGTTTTTCGTGGATGTAATTAAACATATATTGACATATATGTATATCACACACATACGAGGTTCGCCAGCTGCTGGTGACAGCAGAGAGCGACGGTTCGCAGGAGGAGAGCACCGAGGACATGGAGCTTGCGACCCAGATAACTAAGGACTTGTCTGAGTTGCAGGTCGACGACACGCTTGTGGACGAAGCCGGGGACGTGGCACCCGAGAAGGGATCGGTGGCGGAACCGGTAGCCGAGATTTCAGCGCAAGCCGGTGCCGTGGAAGTGACAGGGCCCGACAAGGCGACCGAGATGTCCACGCAGGCCGATGCTCTGGCGGCCGAGATGTCCACACAGGCTGGTGAGCCCAAGGCGACCGAGATGTCCACACAGGCTGGTGAGCCCAAAGCGACCGAGATGTCCACACAGGCCGATGCCATGGAAGTGACAGAGCCCGGAGCGACCGAGATGTCCTCACAGGCACGGCCCGAGGCGACCGAGATGTCCACACAAGCCGGCGAGAATGATGCCATCTCAGAGAAAGCCTTACAGTCCCTGGTTGCGAAGCTTGTTCAGAACAACAAGGAAGTGGCCCAAATGCTCCTCAGACCCAACACGGTGGACTTCGAAAAGCTGTTAGCAACAGCAGCCCAGCAAAGCATGCCACCACCATCCTACATCCCTGTCAAGCATGAGCCCATGGCAAAGGAAGTCATTGCCAAAGCTTTGTCGGAAGCAGCCACACTCCCAGCCCAGAGTTCGCAAGCAGCCGCACTCCCAGCCCAGAGTTCGCAGGCACCCGCACTCCCAGCCCAGAGTTCAGAGGCACCCGCAGCCGCACTCCCAGCCCAAACTACTGAGACTCCAGGTCCATCCGAGCCCCCAACACCGACGGACAGCGATGCAGAGTTGCTGGAGGCCCAGGCAGCAGCGAAGGACCCCACTGCATGGATCATTATATGAGCAATATTAAATGTGCATATACACAGTTATGTATGTGTATATATATATATATATATATATATATATATATGCTATATATGCACATCATGTACATATATAAATATAGGGTTTTAGGGGGTTTAGGGTTTATGGGTTTTAGGGTTTTAGGGTTTTAGGGGTTTAGGGGGTTTAGGGTTTTAGGGTTTTAGGGTTTAGGGTTTTGGGGTTTTAGGGTTTTAGGGTTTTAGGGGTTTAGGGTTTTAGGGTTTTAGGGGTTTTAGGGTTTTAGGGTTTTAGGGTTTAGGGTTTATGGGTTCGCACACACATACCCACAAATTATACTTATAATATTACTCGAGTACTAGTACTGAATTACTGAAACATCAGGATCTTCTTCTCCCGCTTTGGCTTCAGGGTTTGTCGGGGGTTAGGGGCTTTGATCTGAATTCGAACCTACCAAACCTGCGGTCGTGGGCTCTCTTTAGAGCTTTGAAGATTGCCTGTGTAATTACTCTTCTAAGAGTTACAGGTTGAGGTCTACCTTTAATTTTTCTGTAGTCAGATCTAGTTATTCATGGTATTCTATATACTCGGGTTTTTATTGGGAGAATATCTAGCTCGCTATATAGCATAGATTAGCCGGGATCTGTGCAGGAAGCAGTGCGACTGAAGAAGAATCAGCGAGCCCGGTTCGACCGGACCTTTACGAGCGCTCTTGTTGCAATTATTCCGAAACCCCAGACCCTGAACCCTTAAGTCCAAAAGCGGCCAGAACAGATTCGGCGAGATAATATTATCGATATTGCAATATCGATAATATTATCTCGCCGAATCTGTTCTGGCATTGGAGACCCAGCTTAACTCGAGCTCCGATATAGTCAAGAAAACCCTGAGATCTAAACCCCAAGCTTAAAACCCCAAAGCTTAAACCGTATCTGGGGTGTCAGGTGCAAACTGCCCTTTGGCGGTAATGGAGGCCTATGGTGAGTGCATGCTCCCCAACGGTTACTCCACTGCAGTATTCGAAGCGACATCCTAGCACAACATTTAACTTCACTTATATGTACACCTCCTCGATCTCAGGACGGATTGACAAAACGAAGCTGAACCGGCTCTTCGACGATTGGGCTAGCCATGGTGAGGATTGGGGTGAGACTGAGGCCTATGCCGCATGGGAATCCAAGCAGCTGAATCGGTCGAAGCAGTCCTGCCGATGGCTGACTCGCAAGGAGCTTCGGGCTTTTGTTCTTCGAGTGTTCGCCGGGGCAGGGGTGTGTTCAATATATATATATATATATATATATATATCTGTATATATTCATATATCTATCTATCTATCTATATATATATATATATACATAGATGTCCAGGAGATCAAGGCCCGCTACGAGTACACCGAGGAGCAGCTGAACAAGCTTTGTGCACACAAGGACTGTGTGAGGCTTTCAGAAAAGTTGAGGGGTTGGACTAGCTATTCAGTGGGGAGTTTATTACAGTCTCCAAAGACTCAGGCAGGGTACATGTAGGGTTGAGATCGATCATAACTAAGCAAATATTTAATTTGTAAGGGGTCGCTGCGATATTTTCGGCTTTCCGGATGTTTAGTGATATAATAGAAGTGTAGGATGCAGGATTTCATATGCTTGTAGGATCTGGGCTTAAGTGCCGGCAGGAGGCAATCGGCGAATGGAAATATCACCCTGACTTTCCCAACGACGAGGACTTCCGATGAATTTCATAAAACGCTGGTATCATGATATCTAGCTATAGCTTCATACACACGCATACACTTCAGCCTTACTGGCAGGAGATGAAGCTTTACCGATGCTTTGACAGTGGCATGGACGAAGACGAGTCCTCGCATGGCCGCACCGTGGGCTTCAGCCAGCGTGGAGCTGGACCTCAGGGAGGCGCAGGGGCACTCAGGATCACGGGGCCGGATGCCGGTGCTGGCGGTGGTGCTCCACCGCAAGATTCGGCGAAAGGGCAAGGGAAGGGTGGCAGGAAGGGAAAGGGCAAGGGTTCTAAGAAGGGCGAGAAGGTTGGGGATGGTGAGAGCCTGCCCCCGCCCCCAGCACCGAAGCTCAAAACCCCATTGCAAGTTGCGAAGTCTGCAGCTGGGCCACAATTACTGAATTTTCATGGATTATGTACTATCTAGCTGGCTTAGATAATCGATAGGCTTAAAGTCCAGCTGAGGCAATTGTGCAGGCGAACGCAAATCTTCTCGAGATCTCGGGATTCGAGCACAAGCTTGTGCAGGCAGGATGTGATAAGAGTCTGGTGAATGCCCTGACGGAGTCTATGGCCCACACCAGTGCCAAGATCTCCGAGGAGCGCCAGAAGCTCGAGGCCGACCTGGGAGACATCCAGTAAACCCGCACCCCATTAAGCAATTAAGAGCTTCTTCGGATCGACCCTGTAGCCCGAAATAGTTCAAACCGTATATGGTCAATATATGGACTCGGGTACATAGGAATCTAGCTGCTATATGGGTTTAGGACTTTAACCCAGCTATACATCCGAAGCCATGAAACCCTAAACCCCCAAGCCTTAAAACCTCAGCCCCCAAGCCCTACATCCCTCAACCCCGAAGGCCCAGTTGTTTTGAGGGTTCCGGTGGGTTTAGGGTTGAGGCTTGGGGATTCAGGGTTTATTGGTTTGGAAATATCACCAAACCCGAGGCTCCAAGAACTCCTGCGAAACATGCGAACATCATCCCGGAAATCCTTGTCGAAAGCCCAATATTCCCATATGTTAGGAGCTGCCCCCACCCTGTAATAGTGGTATAATAATATAGGAGTCTTATAACATAAGGCCCTAATACAATCCTATAAAATCCTTATGGTCACTATTACAGGGTGGGGGCAGCTTCTAACCCATATGTACATGTGGTTCAACGAAAACGCAATTTGCAAAGCCCCGAAAACATTAAGCATTGTATGAAGTGCAGGCTGCGATCGCTCGGGGTCTGGATGGAGAGGAGCTGAGGCTTCTGGGGCAGGCTGTTGTGGCAGCCAATGATGCTTTCAAGTCGAATGCTAAGCACGTTCGCATGCACATAGCCCCATCGAAGCCCAAGCCCAAGGGCCAAGCGAAAGCGAAGGCAGTGGTTGCCTAAGCACAGGCGATTTTCTTGGGGGCCTGAAGTTTTGAATGTGTGGAAGGCCTTATCATAAGATTGCTGGGATGTGCCATTGCAAGCTTCATGGGGTGGTCAGCCGGGTTATAACATATATTCACAAAGCTCAATGCGCCATGTCTAGCCTAGCACCGGCTGATTGCTAGCACATGTGCACTTAGAACCTAGCTCTCGGATGAGGCTCAATCTAGGTGACAAGATCGATGCAGCACGGACATGTGTGTTAAAAGAGCAGCTTCTTGCAAGAGAGATTGTACTGTGCATCCATGTACAACCCACCTACAACATTCTCCAAGGTCGGAGCCTCTGTGATGATCGGAGGTCGACACAGCGACCTTAACGGAAGCCCGCTGACAGTCGAAGGTTGAAAAATGTCGGTGCGCAAGTCTAGTGGTGCAGTGCTACTTTGCTTCGCTCTAGAAATTTAACTTCTGCACTCCTGCTGGTCAGGCCAGCAGTTTGCTGATCATTTGCTGAGCAAGCTTGGCAGTGGTGCTGCCTGGCGAATCGATAATAAAGACCATATGCTGAAGCCCGCGAACCCAAGCTCTGGAATCCCCAGCCATCAAATACTCCTGCAACTAGTCACCATCTGAGGCAAGCTCCGCCAAAGCAATTCAAGAGGCCGCCTGGGCCATGCAACAAGAAAGCCAAGACCACTGCAGTGAGTTGACAAGGAGGATTGCCCGGGCGGGCACGTGGGGCAAACATGCCAACAACGTGGAGAGAGACATTTGTAGAGCTTTAGGCCTACCCCTGGAGTCTGGGTCGTACAAGTACTCTAGTAGCTCTAGATATACTGCTTTCCTATATCAAATATTGAATTTTACTTTGAAACTAGCTGGTCGACTTCAGCTAAGGACATCCACCACATCGAGGTTCCTATCAAGGACGTCGCTACACGCCGAGGCCGATCCACCTTGAGACTACCGTTCCTAATGCCGCACGAGGTCTTCGACTACTTGTATGCAACCCAACTCAATATTAATGCCCCTAACATATATAATGAACCTTAAAGCCCTCTAATTAAGGCAACAGGTCGTCTTGTCCGAGATGAAGCAGAGATCGACAGGTTTTGGGACCACGTTCGTGAATATACCGATTGGGGCAAAGAGCACATTGGTCAGGGCCGAAATCCAATGTCAATATACGGCGACGAGGCTCGCTACAATCTTGCTGGAGACAAGATACTGTTGATTGCAATGTCGCCCGTGTTGGAGCGGGATAATCTTCGCCACATGGCTCTTCTTCGGTTCCCGGCCCTACCATAATATATGTACCCAAACCCTAATTAAACCCTCAATCCCTAAACCTTAAACCCTAAGGCCGGCCCTAAGGCCCGATTTACCCCTTTAGGCGGAAATAAGTAATTAGCATGTACTTAAAGTAAGGGGGATCGATCTTCAAGCGCTTTCCAATCGTCACTTTGCGATCCTGGATAAGCTTGGGCGACGAGACTCTAGATCCCGTGCTACATGTACTATGCTGGAGCATCAATGTGATGTACGGTGGGGTCCATCCTGAATATGGGCCTAAAGGCAACAAGATTGTATATCATGGCGACAAGGCAGCCGGTACCGCCCTGGCAGGCCTTCTCATCCAAATCGTGCTAGTGCCATAGCTCCACCTCAGCCATCAAAGAACAATCTGATTCCAAGCAAGCTAGATGTTGTTATTTATATCCTTGGGAGGTGGAGCCCACTCTCTCCTGGAGTGTCGAGGGGACTGGGTCTGGCATCGGGACTTTTGGCGGCTCAATGCGAACTGGCAATCGACGAGGGTCTGTCACTGCTGTACAGCAGCAAGTCGAGGCCCCAACTCGTAGCCGGGATGCAGCATCAGAAGGGCATATATGTACAATCGATCCTAGGAGATGTTAAGCCCTAGATCTTGTGCACGTGTTGTGTTGATCTGTTTGAGGTGGAGAACGTCCCTGCTTCGAGATTTCCCAGAACGCCCCGAGAATGAGTTCAATGACATCATCAGGCTTATCATGGTATATTCCTACATAGCTTATAGGGTTAAGGGTTCAGGAGATTATTTGTTAGGGTAAGGAATTTCCCTGAAGGCGCCCGGGCAATCCCCTGATGCTGGTTGTTGGATGGGGGCCGTGGGCCATAAAATGGTGCACTATGCATATCCTCAACTTAGGTGTGATTCAAAGCTTTTCTGGCAGCTGTCTTGAGAAGCTGGTGAGCACGGGTTCCTGGACCAAGCTGCATAAGTGTTTTATCTAGCTAGCTTAAAAGCCCTGCTATCAACCACGAGCAATATAGATTTAGAAAGCTACTTGACGAGTTTGTAATAGTATTATTTACAAATCCAGGTTTTTTCGGCCCAGAAGACGGATGGCTGCTGGAATGTTCCAACCGGTTTCGCAATTGGGCTTCAGCAAACCGGGTTCCACACAGCCAAAACCACTTGACTGCCGGAATGATTTCGCACGATCCCTACCCCAGCCTGAACTTGAAAGCCTGGAACTCCAGAGTCTTCCTTATATTCCTGGAGATTTGCCTGAACATCGCCACTGGCATGGGTGCTTACGATCGAGAGCTGGAGCTCGCAGCAGCAGCTGCTAGCTGTATCGCTGTTTGGTTTGATCGTTCTGAGCGAACATCTAGATATCTCAGCGAAACCGATGCCTCGGAGATCTGTGAAGCTGGACTCAAGTTCCTCGCCTACTACGAGGAGCTAGCACGGCACTGCATTCTGGCGCAAGTGGCACGTTTCAAGGTGATGCCGAAGCTACATGTGCCGGAGTTTACAAGGCAATGTTTGTTGTCTTCATAGTTGAATATTCTAAGCCTGTTAACCCAAGCCCGTATTAATAGCCCAGGCATTCAAACACGTTTGTCGCGATATCAAGACGAGTCGGCTTAACAGCCGATACTTCCATTGCTACCATGACGAGGACCTGATGGGGCAGTGGAAACTGCTAGCTCAACAAGTCAGCCGCGAGCCGGCTGCAGACGGAGTAATATTATTATTAGACATGCATATCATTGTGGTTGTCCCATAGGGTAGCTCCCGGGCACTAAGACGAGGTGATTTGATGGAATTTCGACTGCTGACCCGATATGTACTACGCCTGCACACGACGCCGTGAGCTTCAAAGCAACTCGGCACAATCATCAGAAATGGTATGAGAATCGAGTCACACTCCTGTTTAACTCCCCAGTATTCGATATCTAAGGTCCGTGCATGCGCTCTATGCAAGCGGCCGTACGTGCTGAAAAATACAGTTCAGCTTCGAGCACGTGTGCGAACATTCTGTGAGCCCCACCTCCCCCGTAGCACCCATATATAGGTTATATACCCCGTCCCGATACCAGGCCAGGCTCCCAAACCCGGATCGTTTCATACATATGCTACTGGAGTTGTCGGATTCGAAGGTATTGATATCCTGTACTGCCACTACCCACATGTGTAAAACACATGAAGTAGCAGCTGGATGTTGGACCTCAGCTTACGTTAAACCCAAGGCAAGCTTACGTTAAATCGCATTTAACGCATGACCGCAAAATTTGTGGACGTAGGCACTATAAGGCCCTATGTCTGAGTTTTTTGTGAGCGCCGCCCAATGACCTTCAAAAACGAGGGCTTTGGATCGGCAGGGATTGGGCAAAACACAAACAAATCTGATCCCCATAAACATGCTGTGCATCATCATTGCGAAACTCAACGAAGGCACGTTCGATCTTTGTGTTTGGTTCTGAAGGCTTCGGGATGCCCTTATCAAGACAAGGAGTCGCACTGGAGGGAACAGCAGCTGATGTCGTGAGGCTGGCAATGCTGGCAAGCTGGCAATGTGTGTGCTCACAGGCCTTGGCCAACACTTTCGGCGACAACCCTAAACCACCGCTAAACCCATCTAGATGCGAATCCTCTTGGCGTCCAGAGTCTACAGCAACACGATTCGTTGTGAGATCTAAGGTTGCCTGTCTATGTACAAACGGTTGCACGTGCACGAATGTCCCTTCATGAAACGTGCTCAGCAAAGCTTCGTCGGCATCACGCCAATCCTCCACGAATGGTTCAACCACGCTCGCAGGGTCGCGACTCCCTCCCAGAGCAATGACTAAGCCATCCAATGAACCCTGATTTTCCTCAAAAGCGCAGGTGCTGGTACACTGCGCGTCTGTCATGCACAATTTCGGTTTCCAACAACCATCGCTCAACATGTCCAGTGCTGGACCCTTCTTGTTTGACGCCATCCCAACACCCTGGGTGCGCA